GCTATATGACTTTGTACTTACCCATAACGAATTCACCATTGGTTTGCATATACTTGCAGATCTGTGTTGCAGTCATGGGAATGGCTTATACATGACTTCATAATATGCCAACATTTTCATTGGTGATTTTGAACATTTTCTCAATTTTTACTTTATTTGAGATTCATTGATGACATCTGGATCCCTTTCCATGGATCCAGTTGTCATCAATGTTGATACATTCTTACAGAGGAATTATTGAGTCTGTTATTTGTAGTTTCATAACTGTCTGGTACAGGACAGGTATAGACTCCAATGGATAGTTAAAGCTGCAGAAAGAACAACTAAAAGCATCTGCCTTCTATAAAAGACATATATATTGTGCAGGTCAGAAGGAGGGTTGAAAAGATATCTGTAGATCTCTCACATCCTGGAGATAAACTATTTCAACTCATTTCCTCGGAACAGTGCTATAGAGCAGGAGTGTCAAACGCAATTTCCTTGAGGGCCGCATCAGGGTTGTGTTCGACCTTGGGAGGCTAGGATGGGCATGGCCTGCTCGATGTCACTCATGTTGGGGGCACCTGTGGCGACCCAAGTGCTCTGCCAGTGAAAATGGTCTCCCAAGCTCCATTTTTGGCTGCGACGGCCTCCTGCAATCTCTGCCAATGAAAACGAAGCTTGGGAGGGCTGTCTGTGGCCCTTGTGAGCTCCATTTTTAGCTGTGACAGCCTCCTACAACCCTCTGCTAGTAAAAATAGAACTTGGGAGGGCCAAGTTGAGCCCCCCCCCCAAACTCCATTTTTGCTGGCTGAGGCACTGCGGGCTGGTCCTTTGCTATAGAGCATTTTATGCCAAAATAATTAAACACAGGGACAATTTTTCTCATACCATCACTCTGTTGAACATCTACTTCTTTCGGTGCTGCCTAATGTCTATGTATATTAACCCATTTGGTTGGGTGTAGTACTTCTCCTTCTCCTTATCTTTTTTACTTCCCCTTAAACATTACTACAACTACTACTATTACTACCACTACTGATCATCACACAGTCAGCCAGATCAGACTGGCAGATGTTTTTGTCTACCTATTGAGCCCTTACCAAGGACCTGGGATAGGTAGATCTGGGTGTTTGATGGTGTTACAGATATCATTGCAGGATGGAAGCTGGAACATTAAAGCTGCCTTTTACCATTGACTGTGAGTTTGTCAATGCCAATGGTGGTCAAATTGTGCTCCAGTTGTTTTGGGATTGTACCCAAGACACCTATTACTATTGGTACTACCCTTGCTTGACTTTGCCACAGTCATTCTATTTCTATTTGTAGGTCTTTGTATTTTGTTATCTTCTCCAGTTCTTTCTCTTCTCTTCTGCTGTCTCCAGGGATTGCCACATCCATTATCTAGAACTTTTTTAAAACTGATTTCTGACAAATAGCAAAAATAAGAGAACAATGATGCTGATATGAGAACCAGATCCTACATCAAACTCATATTTTTTACTTTGCCTTCACGTGTACATCAAATCACATGCACTAAACATAAGACTAGATGTTCCTTCAAGTGCTTTTATCTAATATGATGCATTACAGCATATAGGGTAGTTTACACAATCTATTGCTAATTATTAAAATGAAATGAAATTCTTGACTATGTAAAAAAAGTTTTAATTATTTAAGATTTGTTTTACTGAAAACTTTTTGTTATACTTTCTTTAATGTAATTTCTTTAAATCCTCCAATACCAGTAGATGAAGTTACCTAGCAAGTTATCTTCATTTATGCTTAGGATACTTAATAGATTCTTGGATAATAACAGACTAAATTCAGAATTTAATAATGTGTTTTGTTCACAACAGTTTTCAAAAACAAAATTTGAATTACCTTTAAAAATTAGTCTTATTATTGTTTTTATATTTAGGGAAGAAGAAGAACGTTTGAGAAATAAAATTCGCGCAGATCATGAAAAAGCACTAGAGGAAGCGAAAGAGAAACTGAAGAAGTCAAGAGATGAGATCCAAGCAGAAATTCAGACAGAGAAAAACAACATTGTAAAAAGTTTGAAAAGCAAAAGTAGCAATCCTCTGCCACCAGTCCCTGTGCCAAATCTTGTAGGAATAAACAGTGGAGATCCAGTGGATCCAGATATACGAGAAAAAAGAGATAAAATTAAAGAGGTAATGAGTTATGCTAATGGTTGTTACCTCCTTATCTTTATTGATGTGAAAAGCATGAATTTGGAAATTTTTAGTATCTAAATGCTACCAGTTTTGCAATTTAATTATTTAATTAATTAATATAGCCTCTACTTAGTAGATGACTCAACAATGAGCATGCAACTCAGGATGTGAATGATTGTAAATATAATGTTTGTGCAAGGCTTTTTTGTGGGGGATGGTTCAAGTTAGTCTTGAGTCCTGGTAACTGCCTGAACAGGTTCTCTGCAGTTTATTGGCAACATTGTTTGGCAGTAGATTGTATAGATTATCTTATGTAAGTTAAATGTAATCATGCCTGTACCTAAGGTAAATTTTAATAAGATAGCTACCAAACTTTTCTTATAATCGTCACAAAAAATATTGCCCAGTCGTTGTGCACTTTGAGGTGATGTGAATTGTAATCCAGGGCTCCTGAAGAATATTTTGAAGAAATGTTGGGAAAAGATCATGAATACAGATAGTCCTCAAGATACGACTGATCAGTTAATGGCAGTTTGAAGTTATGATAGATGCCCCCACCACAACTACATACTAGCCAGTTTCAAAGTTGTGGTCTCTGTAGCATCTATATAGTTATTTGCCTTTATGACCAACAGAAGGGATGTTGCCGTACCACCACCCCCGCCTGTTTCTCACTGCCTCTCTCCCTCCATGCTGCCCTCCCACCAGAATCTCACAGAAATTGGTCCTGATCCCCACACCCATTACCCATACCAAACTCTGTGAAGATCTCTGGAACTAATGTTGCAGAAAAAGGACAGGCCATGCATCCCTAGGCCAGATGGCAGTGACCTGGAAATGACTGACCATTTTCCCCACACTTGCTTGTGGGCGGGAATAAAATGATGAGTACAAGACAAACAACCCCATTTTGCTCCCTTAACAAGGTTGCAAAGTGCTGCAGAAAGCTCTGCAGTACGGTGCAAACCACATTAAGTCAGCAAAATAGAGTATTTCTTTTCCTGCAGCCACATAGGGTGATTCCAGAAGCGGCAGCAATACTAGAATATAATTTTACCACTGGAATTATTTGTGACCGCTTCTGCAATTGAGAGACAAAACAACCCATACTGCTTTGTAAATAGGGTGATGCTATGAATGCACACACACACAGATTTGTATTAAATATACACTGTAATCATTATAATATATTGATAATAATGAATATCATATTCCTGTTCAGTAGGGAGCATCTCCATTTATTACCTAGGAGTTCCATGCAGAGAATCTGGATTAGATTTAAACAGTTAAAATTTGAAACACATTACCATTTTCAGACTTTTAAGCTCTATTTTGAGGTTTATTTTATTGAATTAATTTATTAGCTACTGCAATCACCAAAGCAACTTTAGGTACAATGCAAAGATAAGAAACAGTGTAAAACAGATACAAAGATAGGCAACAATGAGAAAATATAAAGTGAAGAGAATCAGTGGATTTCAATGATTAATAGAAGATCTGTGCATATAAGATGGATGTATAAAAATATTTTTTGTTAAAACATCTACAGGTCATAGCGACATGCTACATGCTAACATTTGTATTTTCTTTCTTTCTTTTAGATGATGAAACATGCCTGGGATAATTATCGGCAGTATGGATGGGGGCATAATGAACTGAAACCTATTGCTAGGAAAGGACATTCCACAAACATATTTGGTAGGTTATTTATATTGCAAATTCTACATTACCTTCTCTTCTTTATATTATGGTATTATCAGTGATGTATTTTACTATGTGATTGAGCAGCAGAAATTAAGGTAGAACTGTAGAATCTATAGAAAGGCACAAAATGGAATAGAAATAATATTAAGAACCAGTTTGGTCTAGTGGCTAAGGCACCTGGCTAGAAAACAGGAGACCATGAGTTCAAGTTTCACCTTAGCCATAAAAGCCAGCTGGGTGATTTTGGGCCAGTTTCTCTCAGCCCAATTCACCTCACAGGGTTGTTGTATACAAGATAATATGATTGATACACAAAAACATTGGATTAATTGGATTAATACAGGTAGTCCTCGACTTAGAACAGTTTATTTAGTGATGTTCAAAGTTACAATGGCGCTGAAAGAAGTGACTTATGACCGCTTTTCACACTTTACAACTATTGCAGTCTCTCCATGGTCATGTGATCAAAATTCAGATGCTTGGCAACTGACTCATATTTATGATGGTTGCAATGTCCCGGGGCCATGTGGTCACCTTTTGTAACCTTTTGACAAAGTAAAGCCAGATTTGCTTAACAACCGAGTCACTAATTTAACAACTGTGACAAGATAGGTCGTAAAATGGGGTAAAATTCATTTAACAGATGTCTCACTGAGCAACAGAAATTTTGGGCTCTATTGTGATCGTAAGTCAAGGACTATCTGTAAAAGATATTAAAATGTCCTTTTATTATAAAATTTATATTAATACACAGAAAATTAGTTGCTGATTTTCTATAAGCATTTATATAAATATGTGAATATGACTTTAATTAATCAAATTCTATTTATGATCGCAGACTAAAACAAATGGTAGCATGAGGATGAGGATGTTAACACTAGATGAATTACAGTGATGAAGTAAATCTTATTTACTCTTAAACTGTCTACAGATTAACCAATTCCTCATGAGTTGTGTATGCAATAATGCAAATTTTGCTACAGTGTTATTTTAGAATCTTTATCCAGGAATAGATATTGAATATAAAATTAATCAGAAGCCCTAAGAACATCTTAGGTAGCAGTTCTAAGAGAGAGGTTTTTTAATGACCTCTCTATAACATATTAAACTCATTAAAATAAATTTTAAAGATAAGAAGGTTGACCCAAGATAAAAGCAGAACTACAACTGAGAACTTTCTACTGGTAAGTTTAAATGATATAACAAAAGTAGCAACCTGACTGCTAATAGTTGGAAACACATCTGCAAAAAGATAGTTTGCTTTGTGTCTTGATTTACTTATTATATGGATGATTTGCTTTGTTTGATGTTTCATATGCATGATGGGTCCTTCTAGGAAAGCCTGGAATATTAAGATAGGTGGGATCATTTTTAAAACAATGACAAAACATTTTTTTCTACAATTTGTCACAAAATGCCTGAAAAAAGGAGACTTTCCAGAGTTACCTTGTTGACCAGAGTAATAGAAAAAACATAAATGTTATCCCCAGCAAGTTGACTCAATGATATTTATCAGGAAAGGTACACTTTGTAACTTAGTTTCTGTGAACTATTTATCTTGGCATAGCTGGTAGAATCATCAGACAACTCTCCATAGCCAGCCCTACTTTAATTTTCAGGATTTGATCCACTTTCTTCACTTGAGTGGGTTAGGTTTCCACTCAAGTGAAGACAACAAATCTTCGAAGAATTGTGGAGGGTTTTTTTTAAGCATTTTGGTGGCTGAGATGAAAAGATGAACTTTGATTAGAATCTGCACATAATTATGTATGCTCAACCATCAATCTAGATAATTGCAACTTAGTGTGGAGCCACTCATGGAAAATATTTGGAAAGTGTTGCTACTCTGTTTCCCCAAAAATTGCTCTGTTTCAAAGTAACTCATTTGCAAGTAGACGAAGCTTCCAGTCTCTGTCATTTTTCTGTCCAGGTGAAAAATGTGTATGTCCTTGGGAACCCTGTAAGCCATTGTGGCCATGGGCAAGCAGATGGTAACAGGGATTGGGCCTACTGCTGCAAAATGAGATCTCCCCCCAAAATAAGACAGTCTTTTGGTTAAAAAAAAAATAAGACCCTGTCTTAATCCCCTGGCTGGGGATTTTAATCAAGCTAGTCTAAAGTCTGTTCTCCCAAAGTTTGTGCGAGGTAAGAATACTCTAGACCATATGTAATCAAACTTAAGACAGGCATATAGAGCAATTCCCCTCTCCCATCTGGGTACGTCT